ATAAACACCAATATATATATACTCGTATATATATATATATATATATATGGTGGATTTAACATCATAGTTTAAAACTCATAATATTAATTTATTTAAATCTATTTCATATTTATATTTGAAAATATGAATACGGTGAGAATTATATTTAAGACTCATATGGTGTTTATTTCCTATCTATATTTTTTTAGTATGTATCTACATTTTTTCACATATTAAGAAAAAAAATTTTTCTTGAAATACAATATTTCAGAGTCCTGACTTCATATTATTTGCGCAAACGTTTGTTTATCTACTGTGATCAAAACTGATATGTGGTATAATCAGATTGAGATAAAAGAATCCAAGTGTGACATTTAATTCGCTTTCCGTTCGTGACCTTACCCTTCACGATCTCATTCTTATAATATAAAATAGTGAAAATCGCCCATCAAGAGAATTATTCGAGCTTTACGTACGTCGCATCAATGTGGCTCAATAAAATCGCGCGAAAAGCCGTAAAAAGTTTATTCCCGAATAGAACACTGCCGGACGTAAGTAATTGGCCGGCCGGCCAAACCGGATCTATCGGTCGCTCTCGACAAAACTTCCTCGTCCAATGTGTGCAACGTCGTTTTTCCTCGCGTGCCATTCGAATCCCGGCTTCCTTATCCGGTCGCCGTAGTCTCGATACATGCACACTCATGCGCACACGCACGCACACCCGTCCATCCGGAATTTCACCCTCGGGATATTTTTCTCCCTCGTCACGTCCACCGAGCTGCGCAACGCAACGTCGCGTCTTTGTGCAGTTTTCCTCTTCCTCGCCGCGGCGTTTCTTCTTCGTCCCCGTTCTACCCTGTCCCACGCGATCTGTTTTCCCATTCTCTACTCTTCTTGGCTCTTCTCTTTGTTGCCTCCTACCCCTTCGGGTTTGCCAGCGACAGAGCTTTTTTGCTGGCTCTCTCTCTCTCTCTCTCTCTCTCTCTCTCTCTCTCTCTCTCTACTCTCTCTCTCTCTCTCTCTCTCTCTCCCCCCCCCTCTCTTTCTCTTTCTCTCTCACATCTCGTTTTCGTTTCGAGCTGAATCCAGTGGGAGTGTCTCAAAGATCTCGCAGACGTCCTCCAAAATATGCTATCTTCTCTCATTTTTCTGACTCGATTTCTCAGAAGCGGATTTATACGTGATACATTAACTGAGAACTTTGCGGATTAGAGAAAATTATCCTTTCATATTTCGAACCGTATCTTTAATCATTTTTCCGAGAAAATGATTACTTTGTACCATTTACATTTATGAGTTTTTAAATTAATAATGTTTCAAAATTAGTTTTGATTGAAATATGTAAGTATACAGAAAAGAGGAAGGGTTTTTCAGATTTTATAATAACTACACACGGAAAGAATTGCAATTTTGAAAAATATCTAAAAATTCAACTATATTGTATAATAATTTTGTTGGATAATTAAAATACTTGTGTATAGAAAATTTAAACATGATAAACAATGCTCTCTCTCTCTCTCTCTCTGCAAAAAATTTTTATTATTTAGTCTAACAATTAGCTTGAATTATACTTACCGTATACATTATTTTGATAATTTATACTTATTTTAATAATTCAACAAAATTCTTTTCTGATCCGCGTATCTGGCTATATTTTTTAAGCATTTCTGTAAAACCGTTCTTTTCGTATAATAACTGCTCTTTTTCACGATTCTCTTTGTACTTTTAATGAAATTTTGCCTTTCAGTAGTCTTTAGATTACCTCGAACTTTCTGCAATATATCAGAATTAAATATCTCGCGATAATTTCTTTTACCTTTTAAACCTTCATTTCAAGAACATGCGTAGTGGGGTTAATTTAGGTTTAATTCCACCGTTTTCCCCTCGCTCTTTTTCACTCTCACAATAACGCTCTGCTCCTTGCGACTTGAAAACTGAATATTTACATCCTACCGCATCCGCGAGCCGACCTCTCTTTCGAAAGGAAACGAAATAAAGAGTTTCCGCTCGGTTCCTTCACAGCTCGTCCAGTAGTTCCTTTCCGACGTTCCTATACGCTCTATGAACTCGGCGCTTATTACATCAGCGATTTTCCCTCGAACTGTCGCGTCGCGTCGACGATGCGGTCTGCCTTTGTCGGGGGGATCCTTATTTGCAACGTGCGGAAAAAAGACTGCATTGGCGTTAACTAGGAGACCCTTTCCGAGCATTTGCACTTTGTTTATCGAGATGGGAATTGATGGACAAAAGGAAATTCGTACTGTTTTTTCGATATTCATTGAATCGGAATTGACGTCAATTGTTTTACTGTTCTTTTTATCGCAAAATATATATATATCTGCATGAAGTACAAGTTTAACTACGATTTTTATAATTATGAAAATAATTTCGCGCTATCTATTTTTTTTTCTAGAATAGATTGCGACGCACGCGTGATATGATTTAATACAAATTTATACAAGTAAATTCCGTTCTTTGAATAGCGTTGTGTAAACTGAAGCAGTCTTGTTTACTACGTACAAAGGAAACAAAAATTTGGTAAAATAAATTAAATTCGTGAATTAAAGAAGTAGATCTAGGTCCCCCGATGTTACGTTTAACATTGTAATGAAAACTACAAAAGTATTGAGGTCAATTTGCAGTTCTACTTTTATATATTAAAAATTTCTTTCACTTTACAAGAATAAATTGTGAGAGGTAAACGCGTAAGAGTATTGAAATACAGAAATTTAATCGAGTCTACTGCTCGGGTAACGCTTTATTTATCCCGCAATAATAGGAGAACGGAAGTACATCCACTTGCCTGGTCGCGGATGCTTCATAATTACACGATGTGCCGGATAGTCTCAGGCTGAACTTTCTTTCCTTGTGAAGTTTACGAAGAGAGAATCTAGATTACTTCTCGCGCTTCCTCATTGCGAGAAATTGTGCTTTGACGCGTTGCGAGCTTTTTAATCGAGTACTCATCGTAAAATTAATATTGGAGTAACAGTAGCTTTAGAAACCTACCACCACAAAGCTTGATGAAAGAAAGATTTTGTCTTAAATTATAAACAAAGATATATAACGAGGTTTATAATAACTGTCATCGTAATGATTTTTTTAATAATGGGAAAATTCTGTACCAAGTAAAATTCTATGATGACAAGATACTAGAGATTATAATTGTATATAAGTAATATGTCGAGGTAGCAGTTAAGTTTTCGAGGACCGAAGCTTTCTGACGAAGTAATCTATGAATGATCTTATAAGGATTGTCGTTGAATCTGTTCTGACCTCAAAATTCTAAAATTCAAATTTTAGGGAAGTAATTTGGTTATCGTGAAACTCGGTTTTAGAAAGTTCTTAATATAGCTGAGTTTGAATGTACCTTGAAAACATCGAATTTCAGAAGGATAGACCTCTATGAAGGGAAATCTAGTATTACTGGGGTTTATAATTAGAGTTTGGAAGTCAGTTTGAAAATCAGTACTGTTTGCGTAGAATTGATGAACTTTAAATGAAGTGAAACTGCAAATTTAATGTTACTTTGCAATTAAAAAGTTTTTAAAACTGAGTTTTATGATAATCAAATTATATTTTTTTAAAATTTTGTTCGCTATACTAAATCTACCATTTAAAACTTTTCATCTTTAACCTCTGATTCGAATAAAGTATTGTAAAATTACTCCACAGGCTAAGTTTTATCAAAGTCGAGCGAGCAATTTATAAAAGAGAAAGGATGACTTCAAATGGGGTTGTCTGTCCACAAAGAGTTAAATCCTTCGCGCCGCGCGTGTATATAGTTTCTATTATTTTTATTTTTTATTGATATATAGTTTTTATCGTTTATACATAGTTTTTTACCGCATTGAAATTCATTCGCTCCATATATATATATATATATATATACTTTGGTCTTAAAATTAACATACGCACAAATTCCTGATGGGGTGGTTATGGGCGACGAAATGGAACAAGGGTGCCGATATTGGACAGAAAGTATCTTCCTCTCTCGTTCACGCTTTATTTAGCAAAATACAAAAAGGGACGACACGCGTTCCATGCGCTCCGTAATTATACCGGATGGAATGCCCCACGATGAACTTCGCTTGCGTGCTTTACGAGGATGAAACGATTGTCGCAATTTCTCGCTTCGTCGTTAGTGCAACGACATCGCAGAGTTCAACGACAGCCGGCAGAAAAATACGACTGTATCGTAAAGCCGACGAGATACACGCGTAACATTCACAATAATTTTCTCAAGTTTTTATTACTGACTTCACTTGCGCTGAAGCGTAAGGGACGGAAGGGAGAAAAATGGTCGGTTGCTATAAGTCTCTCTGCATTTTATTTAGTACACGCGAGTGCATCGACAATGTATTTTGTGACTGCAATATGCGGGTTTGCGATGAAATGAAAGACATTTTCGTTCTTAAATTTGCATTCCATTCGTCTAATAATAATGCTACATATAATCATTTATACGTTTTTATACCTATCTGTAGCTACATTTGTCAACGACTTCCAATTATGAAAAGAATTATAGAATTGAATCGTGAATATTTCTGCTCCTAGATATATGTAACAATAATACTTTTAAGTTAATATTTATACGGATTAATATTTTCACGGATATTTTTTTCAAACAAACTACGTGGTTTGCAGGTTTTTAATATATAACATTAAATTCATTTAAATATATTCCTATAATATGTACAGCCTTGGTCAAAAGTATTAGGTACTTTATTAACCATTATTTAAAGTTTTAACTCAAAAATTAATTTTTAGCATTTACTGTAAATATCTTTATTAAAAACCCTTATATATACATATAATCCCGAGGATCAACAAGTAATGATGCAAGTAAAAGAATTCTAAATAAATGAAAAAAAAGTATAAGTGTCTAATATCTTTGATTTTACCAAGACTGTATATGTATGCACAAAGTAATTGTCTCACATTATAGTACATGCATATAATATATGTAATGATATACGAATGTATTAACTAACTTTTTTCTATATTTGTTCTGTTTACAGAGGAAGTGTTCAGCTCGAACAAGGCGCTCTGGTTTTCTCCGAGCGGCACTAAATTGGTCTTCGGTTATTTCGATGACTCCAACACTCCTATTATGACCATACCATTTTACGGATATCCTGGAAGCTTAACTTTCCAATACACGTCGGCGATACCGATCCACTATCCTAAAGTAAGTACATATGAACCTTATCCTATTGCTCCATTGTTTTCACAATGTACGATAAAGAAATATTATCTTGAACATTACCGTATTTTTAATTCGTCGACTTCTAATATATCTTTATTAATATTATTTCTATCAAAAAATTATATATTTTTTTAAATTTAATAGCTTCAGATATATAGAATTTAATTTAAACTTCAAATACGTTTTAAAATTTAAATATAGATATTTCTTTGCTACCCGCACGAAAAAATAATAAGTTTTATGTATTTTTTACGTATGGAATTTCTGTACGTATAATATAAACTCGCAATACATTTTACCGTTTTTAATATCTGCCATTTTAATTGATTGTCTTCCTATATGAAAAGGCGTTTGCGCATCTAGGGAAAATGAAATTTTTCGCGGAGAAAACATAATGTCTCTTTAAAAGGCAGCGATTCTGAGCGTTAGAGCGTCTCTCAGAAATGTCCCTCTTACTTTGTCTCCCCGCGAACCTTCGTCCCGCACTGCTCCACCGCCGTCCGAGATATGAAAAGCTATCTAACCGAAGTTTACGTCCTGAAAAGGTGAGAGGAGCGAGCGTGGCACCTTTGCATTTTTCAGTATCTTTTTATGACTCTCGATTGACGCCGTCGCAAAAAGTCGTGACGCAACGTAGAAAAATATCCGTCGTTGATTCAACCCAGTTCAACCTTTGAATGACATCTTTGTCTTCGTACGACAACTTGTAAGATGGGAAATTGTTGTTTGGACATAGAAAGGAGTATAGATAGACATATAAGTCTTAGAAATACGATATAAAATATATCGTTCATCATAAGATTTCCATTTTTATTCTTAAATACTGTCGTTACTTAACAAAGCTATACGTTCCTTTTTTACATTTAATGTTCTTTTGTCAGAAATATTAAAAGTCTTTAATATAAAATAATATTAAATATATGTGTTATATATGTATATTATTTAACTATTAAAAAATTTTGATATTAAATCGATAAACGCTCTCACGATGTCTTTATGACGATTTCACGACTACCAGAAGTTAAATAACCGAGAATCGTATTATCTGCGAAAGGCGATTGCAACGGTAATCATATTATTTCTCCGATATTACTGTGCGCACAATTCTAATCGATCGAACGGCGAAATTGAAACCGCACGGTTATGACGAATGCATTCCCGGTATTTTTTGTTGTTTCACGTACGCTCGAATAAAATTCATAGCGGATCGATTTTTCTCTGAGAGAATGTAATTAAATTCTAAATTTGATGTACAGTTTTACTTGGATTGCCGCTGCCATCTTTTAAAGATGGGATTCTTTAAGTCCATAAACTTTCAGCCTTGGATTAAAGTCACGATCTCGTTAGTCGAGTGATTCATTTTGCTTGATGCGCAAACCGCCATTCTGTTATTTTCCTGAGTACATTTATCTGAATTTCTTTCGCAACTTTTCATTGTGCTTCAAAGCTCGTGCTTTAAGCGACATTTTAACAGAAATGCAATACATTTTATTTATCTAAGTTCTGTCAAATTTGCTTTATTCGCAATGTCCGTAAATGGAATTGTCATTAACATTCATTTCAGCCAAAGAGGAAATATATCACGAAAAAGACGGGTTTGTTCTATAAATATTTACATCTGTGCGAAATTTCAAATTCTCTTGAAATGATAATAAAATGCAAATATGACCGAGCGATTCGAATAATTTTATTTTATGATTCGAAAATGGGTTGTTATGCTGAAACAGAGTAGCTCATGACATAAATTCGCCGTTTGGAAAGTACTATTATCATCGACAGAAGCATTAAATACGAGGAATATTCAAAATTGCATCGCTTTTACAAATTCTGCAGTGTATTATTGAAATCATATTATAATTTTTTTTTTAATTTGTGCATAATAGACAATGAAATCGTAAATTTATTTATTGTTAATTTATAGAATTACAGTTTACAAAAGTGTACTGAGATATCATTGATTGAAATAGATTTTTTGTGTGTAATTAACAAAATCATTTAGTGAAAATTAGAAATGTTACTTATAGCGTTGAAGCAGAATATAAATGCTATTTGTACAATATAATTTCCGTAACATAAATAATAATAAAAAATGTATTAAATTAAAATTTTTATAAAATTTTATTATTATGATTTAAAATTATATTGAGTTCATTTTGTTGCTAAAGAACGCTTAACTATTAATGACATTTTCACACCATTTTTATGTATTTTACTAACGTCGTTTACTGTCTCGTAGAAAGTTAAGTTCTTGTAGAAAGCGCGAGAAATTTCTAGAATTTACTAAAACATAATTAAGAGTTATCCTTAAATTATGAGCAAATAATTAAAGCGACTCACTGGAGCTGGGTATCGCGTTACTTTTTGATGAAACGGAGAGCGCCACTTTATAGTTATACATATATGCCAGTAAATTAATATTAGTAGAATATTACGAAGTCGAACAAACGAATAAACGCTGCGAACAGCAATTACAGCGTTTTACATCTTAGGATTAAACAAGATTGTCATTAAAACTTTTAGTATTAAGACGACAGGATTTTCAGATGCACTTAAAGTAATCAGTGAAGGAACAGCCATGGTGGACAGAGAATCGAAGATTTATGTTTCCAATTTCATTAAAACACTTCCGCGCAAACAAACCTTACAAACAATTTTACATATTTTGCAAGAAAGTTGGATTTCTTGTAAATATATACTCGATTATCGTTACGTTTTTTACAAAACTATAATTTTCTTTATAATTCTTTGCATCCGAAGAAAAACTTATGGCTAAAATATCTTAACTTCTACTGTAATTTTGTCGTAAAAATAAAAATTTCAAAATATTCTTTGTAATATTAGTAATAATAATTGTATTTTATAATTTTTATACCACGAATAATAATATTTATAACACAGAAAGATCAATTTTATTGAGGTACTTAAAAATTTAGCTATAGATCTGAAAATAATTTAGACTATTAAATAATTACATCGGAATCTCAAGCATAACGAGCGATGCTGTAAAAAGTTTTGATATTCTAGCAACTAGTTTGAATGTTCTACATAATTATTTTGATGATCCAACAAAATTATTTTTAGACCCTTGTATTTAATTAAAATATTTTAGATACTTTCACAAAACTATTCTCTTTCTTTATATATACATATAAGTATAATTATACAGAATGTTCCGAACTTTTTGACGTATCATGGATAGGTGGAAAGGTTTAAATTGAGTCGCGCAAAGTTCTTACAATTTCCATAATCTTTTTTTAGTTAGCCAATGATCAGAATGTCTAAAATCGACGCATAAAACAACTGTAAGTTATCTTTAAGAAACACTTTTAATATAACTAATTTTTGTATCTTTTGTAACTTTTAATATATTTCATAAAGAGTTTTGAAAAATACGTTAAAGTTGTCGTATGCGTCACAATTTTATTTGTTTATTCTCTCTCGGTAATCTTTAGAAATTAATATTTTAAGTATTATAAAAATCGTAAAATCGTAGAGAATGTTTGGACGCAGCTCTACCTATCCACAAGCGGTATGTCAAAAAATTTAGAACACCCTATGTATTATAAATACAATATAATTATTATTAACATTATAGCAATAAAAACTATAAAAAAGGAGCTCCATGGTTTATCATGTAATTATAATCGCACAAATATCAGAAACTTTTTTCAGTACTAAATAAAAAGAAGAATGTATTTTATATGTAAATAATATTTTTGCGCGGTGAATATCTTATTTAAATCGATTGTACTGCTATGCTTTTTTTTATTGATATACATCCGATCTTCTTCGTCCATTACTCCGCTACTTTGTCATCGGTGTATGAGATGTCGACCCGTCTTCACGAGAAATCTGTCTTCCCATTCCAGAGCGGCACGACAAATCCAACAGTCAAACTATTTTACGTCGACCTCGACATGGTAGTGCAAGGTAACGTGACTTTGGTAGAGATCGAACACCCGCCACAGCTGTCTACCTCCGAAAGGATCCTGTCAGCGGTGGACTTTCCTACGGACAGTCTCGTGTACGCAACTTGGATGAACCGGGCGCAGAATAGGGCGTATTTCCAGCTCTGCGACGTCGACAGTCTGTTGCCAAATTGCACGACAGTAGGTATTTCTTCATTTTCACGCAGGAGAGACAATCTTCCAGTTCTGAACAGAGTGAGGAAGAGTAGAGGGAAAGGGAGGAGGCTGGATTCGTTTGATAGCACGGACATTCCGCTTTCTCTCTCTTTCTCTCTGTATCCTTCATTCTCGTTCTTCGAGTTTCCGCGGATCTTAATTTAGACAAGCGTTCTTTCTTCAGTTAGGCAATAGTATTTTAATTAGTGCGCGCTTGCCTGCGGCCCGGCTAATTCGCAGTTTCGCGCAAGTCTTTCGTGACTGTTTCCCTGGGGGAAACTTGGGCGTTACAAATTCCAAGTATCGGTAAAGATTTCGCATTACAAAATTCTGTGATAAATTTAATTTCGCGTTAGAAGCGTGAAATTAACTTTGTGAGAAATAATTCTTTCGGGAAACATTTTTTCTACGTCGAATGTGCAAATTAGCTGTTGCGTTAAAATATCTACGAAGGAAGAAAAAGCGGTTTTAAGAAGTTGCTATTACGAAGTATATGACAAGTCGTGTACTTTTTGCGTTGTTAAAGAGAAAAAGCAAATAGCTTTCTTTTTACTGGATCGTTTTATTAATATTTTTGGGAGCTTGTTAAACTTTAGCTCGTATATTTTCGCGAAAAGTACAATGTTGATTCCCACTTTGGAAATAACACATAGCGATATGACGTCCAGTTCAATCAAATATTTATATAAATATATTGTATAAATCATTTTTAATCAAAATGTTAGACTTTAAAAAACATACCAAGAAAATGTATGTATCTTTATTAATAAAAAGGGTTTTAAGCAGTAAAGAAAAAGCATTGAAAAAAGAAAACTAAGTATTCCATACCGTGGAAAAAACTATTGTAAAAATTAATTTTTCAAGAATATACAGATCAATGAATATATAGATATACATGTGATATCATCACATCGATGCAATGACAAGAAAATCTTAATATCCTTTTTATGTATGACAATATAACTTAATTAAATTGACATAATATAGTTTGCTGACCAAGATATATTTTGATCTTAGGCACTTTCATATAGCGAGAAAAATGGTTGGGTAGAGCAATTTGAAGCACCCATATTCAGCGAGGACGGTACGTCGTTCTTTCTGATATTACCGCAGACACAGAAGAACGGTAGCAATTGGCGACACGTTGTGCTTGTTACGAACGTAACCAGTGGTAGGCCGATCACCACTGCCCTCACCTCCGGCTATTTCGTCGTGACGGAGATAGTAACCTTGGATCGGGAGGACTCGTATCTGTGAGTATGAATACAATTTATTCCAGAAATCTATGCACCGCTAATTAAGCAGTATTCGTCAATGTCTCGATATTTTTGGGAGCTTGATTTTCGCGGCAATCGAATGAACCGTTATTTCGCAGTCATCTTTTAAAATCTATATTAATATAATAAGTCTCTATTTCTCGAAATGTGTGTTATTTTCACAACAATTAAATAGACAACTGTAGCGTGACAAGTTTACATTTATTTTATATTTTGTCATACTTTCACGAGTTTATATTGATGTCAGTTTTACTGGTATTTTAATATAAATTCTTAACTTAAGATTAAAAATAAAGTACATTGTTTTGAGTACGAGGGAATAACACAGAAAATGAGAATGTTGGATCAAATAAAAATGCATTAGTATAAAATTAAGGAAGTGGATATCTAAATAAGTGATATAATTATTTAAAGCTGGGACAGGAAAGTTCTTTCAAGATGCTATAAATTAGCTCAATTACTTAAAACTTCTATGTCGATAATCTACCATTAGCGATTAAACCAAATAGATTACATTTTCACTTCTTCGAAAACTTTTCAGCGATTTCAGCCTTTTTTGCTACGAATTAGGACCACGTAAGTTCAATCGATTTGCTGCCGATGCATAACTTAATGGAACGAAAATAATTGAATCAGTCAATAACATGTAATTCATATGTAATTTATATATTATCTAAAATTTTAATTACGAAATAACTACATTTTTACAGTAAAATTAAAACTTGTCAAAAATTAAATATGTAGCGTTAATTTTTTATATAAAATCATATTAAGTTAAAAAAAAATATAATATATAATCTATGATATTATATATATATATATATATATATATATATATTTAAAAATACATCACAACAATATCTACATAAAATATCTTGCAAAAATTACCTGAAGTGTATGATATATTTTTTGTTGTTATCTATATTATTTACATTTCGATCTGCATTATTTTGCATACGAATCTTTGCAAAATAAAAATCTATATATATTTATTCAATTTATCTAAAAAAAATGTGTGTATTTGTAATTCTGGATTTTTGCCAGTCTGTCTAAAAAAAGGATAAGTTTTTTTATTTTATATACCTCTGCTTCACGAATAAGCAAAACTGTAGTTGAGCGAACTGTCGCGTATACGCATATGCACTCTGACGGGGGCACGAATTCTCGAATACGAGATACTCGCTCTCTTCCTAGGTGTTCATCCCGGCCGATGACGTTCGGAAAGATAGCGAGCGAAATGGCTCGGAAGTAATTTGCGAAGTGAAAGCAGAACTCTACGACGACGGTGCGGAACTGGGAAGTTGCGTGATGTCGTCGTGGCTTTAGAACAGAGAAAGAGAGAGGGAGGGAGAAGGGGGGAGGGATAGGTAGAGAAATGGTGGGCAAATCCTCTCGATGGGTTGACCTCGCCTCGCAAGAAGCGGCTGACTTAATTGCGCGTTCATAAATTAAACGAGATCTCTGTCGAGGGAACGAAGCGAGCGACCCGTTATCGTCGCATGAATTCGCTTTTTCTGCGTCTGGAAATCCGCGTCGGTCGATTAACGCTCGATAGAAATGGTCGACGGGAATCGAATTACCGTTCGCATCTTGCGATCAGAAGTTCGGGCTACGTCGTCGTTGCGTTGGATGATTTCCTGCCGCGCGTTTCCTTCAGGGCACTGGGAAGACCATCGGAAGACGTTCCACTTTTCATTTCAAGGAAAAATTGCTTTGATCAGGCGTTAATGACGTCGTCTGGAGTTTCGTTGCGTCTCATTACTCCAAGAAGCGACTGAAATTCACGATAGCAATTTACGATGAAACAGGATGTGAACGAGCTTTCCAGTCGCTTTAAAGTACATGAACGATGTGAAAATCGTTTCAATCCAATAATATTTTTAGTTGAAACAGTTTAAGTTTTCCCTTTTTTCAACTTTTACGTTAAAAATTAAATATTATTTAAATTATAATTATATATATATATATAATTTATATTTATATATTATAATATTTATAATTTAAGTAATCTTTGATTAATATAATTTTGCATAAATTTTTTTAAATGTACAATATTTGCATAAAGAAAGTGTGATTCATCAAAGATAATGGTTTGAATCTTTGGGTGGTATCCTGGAAATTTCTTTCGCATTGCAAACCCCTAAAATTTTGTTAAAACGTTGAAATATTCAACACAGAGTAGCCTCGATTAAAATGATAAGAGAGATACGCTTGCTTCCAGTTTCCGCCATTAAGCGTCCATATGCTCAATGAATTTAGTGAAGTCATTCCGTTGCACGTCGTCCGTACTCGCGCATACAAGAAGTCGGATCTCAACGAACGCGGACTGCATCCGGGGTAACGCGCATGAATTAATCATTAGGACGGTGTAAACAGAGAACGGCGTTCAGGAGTTATTCAGTGGCGTGGCGTTTGCGGCCTGCGGACGACATAACGGCGTAATCAATGCGCGGAATCCGCAATACGCTCGCACTCTCACATGTGCCGGAATGTATCAATATAGTATGCATGCAGCGTGTCATCGGATTAGTATCTTGAGGCGCGAGCGATCAATGCCATGTCCCGCAAACATTCGGAGTCAATTAAAAGGCACCGAGTTTCGAAGCAAAATCTCTGGGTCTGTAGTTAGAGTTCGCGGAAGATTTTAGGGATCCAACTAAATTGCGACTATTCGTACAGCACAGACTTCCAAGGGAAGTTCTAAAACACCATCTAGAGGACGTTCTATGTTCTGAGGATGTTTCCAGGATGTACTTTCGATAAAATGTAGCGTGTGGACGTTTCTAAGTTCGTAATTAAAGTTTGCAAAAGGCAGAGATTCAACTAAATTGCGGCTATCTGTACAGCAGATTTTCAAAGGCACGTCCTAAAAACGTCCACAGAATGTTTTACGTTTCCCAGAATTAAAGGTCTCTCAGATAAAATGTCTGTTTTTTATTCCTGCATTAGACTGCACCAGAACTTTCTTTCTCACTTTCGCCAAATATCAATCATACACCTATCTCACCGTAAGTTCCAAAAGTGTACACTATAGTCAGCCAGAAACAAAAAATAGACCCAGTGTGTGCTCTGCGGGTAGAGTTTGCGCGATTGCAACCAAATGTAAATTTTTGTTAACTAGACGCGAATTGCAGTTAATTCGGTTTTAACTAAAAACCTCGTTTGCGCAGTTAGTTTCAGTATCGCACAACTGCGCTCGATCGACCGAACTGGCGTCTCTCCGCAGCGTCCGGGAGGAATGTGCAAGAGAACTCTGCGGTTCGTTACCGACGGACCAAGTAATTACAGCGACATGCGTTAATCGCTAGAGATGCCAGCGGGACTTGAATCGTAAGATATTAAGCGCGTTTATCGCGCCGGGATCACCGCGTCGCGCATCCACCGCATCCCCGAACGAGGGGATGCTCCCGAATTAACTTGCAGCGTCTGCCATCCCGCGCGAACAGTTCGCGTGGACAGGCCGCAACCACAAGGCCGGGAAATGTTCGTGAGCTGCCTCCGAAAACTCCACCGTTGGATGGCGGGGCAAATGGAAACGTCACTGCACCCCGGAGATAAACACCGAGAGAGCGGTTACGCCCGTTCTATTAACTGCCCTTATTATTCTACTCGTCACGTCGCACACTCGTTAACCCTGAACTCTGACAATGTATCTCGCAGGATACGTCTCTGTTTCTCGTCACCCCCTCGCGAATTTCCTCTTTTTCAATTTTTTACTCTGCATATACATATAAATCAATTTTCAACAAACAAGTAAAGAAATAGGACCAAATATTGTATAATTGAGACTAGATTTTGATGACTGATAATAATTGTATATGTAAATGTTTAAATATATATGTACATTTGATTTATATAAACTGCGCGATTACTGTCGGACTTGTAACGCAATCACAAACTGAAGCTAAAATATTAATATCACAGATTATATCGATCGTTAATTTAACTCTCAATTATAGTAACGAATCATTTGAACCGGAAATAAAAATTTTTGGACAATTGTACAATCTGTATACGATTGATACTATGAGACTTTAAATTAGGCCTGTTTAATTTTAGCTCTGGAGCCAAAACGCAAAGCCATTGATACAAAAAATTCAATGTGAACATAATCTCGGAGACTGTAGAATGTTAATAAGTATCGTTCAGACGTGTATTAGCACTTCACAGTCCTCGAAGTTTTACCCATATTGATTTCTTATTTTTACATCAATAGCTTTACGTTTTGGCTCCGGAGCTAAAATTGGACAGGCTTGCTTAAAATTGTACGTAAAAAAAAATTTTGAATTTTATAAAGCGGAGGTTTACTTGCATTCTATACTTTAAACAAAACTCTTTAGAATTTAGATGTAGATTTCATAATTCAGATTTAATAATAATGTTAATATAAACATCAATTTTTAATTTTTTTAGACGAATACTCTGAAGCTTCTATTACATTTGTGAATTTGAACTTATTCATTTACATGACCTAAGTGCCAAGAGAGTAAGTGTTTAATTCGTAGTTCAATGGTTAAGATAATAATGATCTTTTTAGGAATTTGCATTTTAAATTTAGCAATCTCGATAAAATTGACGAAATCAATTTTATTTTAATTGTTAGCAGTCGCGTTTCGACGAAGTGCACATTTCGCTTTTATTTATTTCACTAATTATTAAAATTGTGCAATATAACGCACTTAACGCGCGAATTATTCGTATATAATATCGACGGTATATTCGGGAAGAAACAAGCGTTGTGATGCTCTTGTATTTGTCGGTATATTCAATTTATTCCGACGCAACTAGAATCACAATGAGATAAAGTTGAAAGGAAAGGGAGACTCATACACGACATTCCTTTGTTATCAGAAAAGATGGGCTTTCACTTTCGCCGTTTCAATTTCAACTTTTATAAAGCCCTTAGTATATTCTCGCTATACAGAGGCGGCTATACTGCCATCGTCTGATGCTGTTTAAGATTTAGACTAAACCGC